TGTTTCTTTCGGCTAATTTTCTACTCTGCCCCAGCAGTGATGTCTCATCTGCTCCCACAGGAGCTCTGTTTCTCTGGCTAATCTTTTCTACTCTGCCCCAGCAGTGATGTCTACTCTGCTCCCACAGGAGCACCGTTTCTCTGGCCAATCTTTTATACTCTGCCCCAGCAGTGATGTCTCATCTGCTCCCACAAGAGCCGCGTTTTTTTTCCGGCTAATTTTCTACTCTGCCCCAGCAGTGATGTCTCATCTGCTCCCACAGGAGCTCTGTTTCTCTGGCTAATCTTTTCTACTCTGCCCCAGCAGTGATGTCTACTCTGCTCCCACAGGAGCCGTGTTTCTTTCGGCTAATTTTTCTACTCTACCCCAGCAGTGACGTCTCATCTGCTCCCACTGAAGCTCTGTTTCTCTGGCTAATTTTTCTACTCTGCCCCAGCAGTGATGTCTCATCTGCTCCCACAGGAGCTCTGTTTCTCTGGCTAATTTTTCTACTCGGCCCCAGCAGTGATGTCTCATCTGCTCCTACAGGAGCTCTGTTTCTCTGAATAATTCTCATATGAGCTCTGTTTCTCTGGCTATTTTTTCTACACTGACACAGCAGTGATGTCTACTCTGCTCCCACTGGAGCTCTCTTTCTCTGACTAATTTTCACTCGGCCCCAGCAGTGATGTCTACTCTGCTCCCACTGGAGCTCTCTTACTCTGGCTTATTTTCTACACTGCTATAACAGTGACGTCCCCTCTGCTCCCACTGGAGCCCTGTTTCTCTGGCTAACTTTCTACACTGCCACAGCAGTGTCGTCTCCTCTGCTCCATCTGAAACTCTTTTCTCTGGCTAATTTTCTTCACCGTCACAGCAATGATGTCTACTCTGCTCCCACAGGAGCTCCGTTTCTCTGGCTAATTTACTACACCGCCACAGCAGTGACGTCTCCTCTGCTCCCACAGATGCTCTGTTTCTCTGGATAATTTTCTACACTGCTCAAGCAGTGACCTCTTCTCTGCTCCCGCAGGAGCTCTGTTCCTCTGGCTTATTTTCTACACTGCTATAACCATGATGTTTTCTCTCCAGTACATCACCATTTAGAATTATTATTCCTGCTAAAACCCTTAATTGATTATTTCCTCTGTCCAGCAAGCTTGGTCTCCAAGCTAACGTCGCACGCATCAAAATTTATCCTCCAAGCGGTATCTCCCAGGACCCTTCAATCCTATATTACCGCTTGGAGGTAACATAAAGAAAGGAAACGATAAATATAACGTCTCTTATAACTTGCCTTCCCCCGATTTTTCTCTTTCCAATCAAATCTTTTATCTCCTATTAAAGGTTATTTGAGCGGCAATCCAGTTTTTCCCATAAACTGTCGTACGGCACTACTTCTGTGGAGTTAAACAATTCACAAACCCTGATTAAAGGGATCCAAAGATCCCAGCCCACCCGCCCCCGACTCCGGACACCCCATAACACTGGAAATTCTCATTAAATGTATTCGGCTTTCCGCATAAGCTACCAGCCCTTCAGTTCCACTCACACACTCAATGCCACGTTTAAATTACCCTTTTTCGTTTTTCTTAGACACTCAAAAAACCGCCATCACTTTATGAGCAGAGTGAGTGCTTTCCCAGAGGAGCCCTTACATTTTTCTCCTTCATCCAGCGAGCAGTTGGTCTCACAGCGGATGCAGTGTGAGAAAAAATCTCCTGGGCAAGCACTCAATTTTTCCACTTTTCAGTTTTCCTTCTTCCATCCAGCGAGCATCGGTCTCACAGCGGATGGAGTGAGAGCTTTCCCAGTAGAGCACTTAAAATTTTCTCTTTCATCCAGCGAGCAGTTGGTCTCACAGCGGACGGACATGAGAAAATTTCCTGGGCAAACACTCATTTTCCCCTCTTGTCAGGTTTCCTCTTTCCGTCCAGCGAGCATTAGTCTCACAGCGGATGGAGTGAGAGCTTTCCCAGTAGAGCACTTAAAATTTTCTCTTTCATCCAGCGAGCAGCTGGTCTCACAGCGGATGGAATACGAGAAATCTCCTGGGCAAACACTCATTTTCCCCTCTTGTCAGGTTTCCTCTTTCCGTCCAGCGAGCATTGGTCTCACAGCGGACGGAGCGAGAGCTTTCCCAGTAGAGCACTTAAATTTTCTCTCTTTCATCCGGTGAGCATTCGGTCTCACCGTGGACGAGAGTACGAGAAAATCTCCTGGATAAGCACTCATTTTCCTCTTTTCAGGTTTCCTCTTTCCGTCCAGCGAGCATTGGTCTCACATCGGACGGAGCGAGAAAATTCCAGGTAGAGCACTCATGTTTTCTCTTTCATTTCAGCGAATATTTGGTCTTACAGTGGATGCAGCGTGAAAACCTCCTGGACAAGTATACAACAACCACACCTTGTTCGCAGTCAACAAGGGCCATCAGTCCAGGCAGTGAGCCAACATCACGGGCCTCCCTGACCAAGCATCCAGGCCCCTTCTCGAGATGCCAGCCCGCCATTTCTTGGCACTCTTTGGGGGGTCTTTAGTCCGGCGGCTGTCCTCTGCTCTTTAGCCTTTTGGGGGGAGTACTCTGGGTTCGGGCAGAATTCCGAGCACGGAGCCCTCCCTCCGGACAGCACGCCAAATACGCATTGAATCTTACTCACTCAAAATTATATGTAAGTGTGAACTCGTGAAATGAAGTTTTGTTAATAACTAAGTTCGGGAGGAGCACGTTCAGATAATTAACACGAGTGGACGGCAATCAGCAATCAGCAACCAATGATAAGAGGGTATATATAGACTCAGCAGTCTTACCTCGATCCATTGGCAGTTTGCAGCATCCCTCCTCCACCCCTTCTCCACACTCCTAGTCCTGCACACTCCTCTTTCTAAAAAATCACTTACATACGGGGGGAGTACTCTGGGTTCGGGCAGAATTCCGAGCACGGAGCCCTCCCTCCGGACAGCACGCCAAATACGCATTGAATCTTACTCACTCAAAATTATATGTAAGTGTGAACTCGTGAAAGAGTGTTTCGGGACAGGTCCGACCCATTGGCTTTTCCCGACAATTACCTGCAAGAGCGTTAGGGTAGAGTGGGTGGAAACGCCCCCCCTTAAGGAAAATGTGACATTACTGTAAAACAAAACATAAATGTGACTAGAATTGCCATCCCAGTTTTGAGTGTCTTTGGCAGGAGTTTTTACCAAATATTAAAATTGCTCAACCTTCATAATTATTATTTTTTTGACTGAAAATATGGGGTGGGGTAAAATGCCCCCTTTCTTACCAACCAGTTTTCTTCATAGATCAACAGCAAAATGAACATAATTTTTAATCTCTAAAAGTAAAAGGCAAGTAATGCAACAACATAACACCTATTAATATTTATTTCAGGAATGTACAAAACAGCCAAATTTCTAACATTTGAATATTTTGATTTCTACACGAGGCCTATAATTGATGTAGTATTTGTTCATCACTATCATCAAAAAAAAAAAGAAAACCCTAAATAAATATTAAACATAAATTAGTATATTAATAGTGAAATATATTACATAAATGCATTAAAATTCACTGTGTTTTATCATTGGGTCACCTAACCACCTTCCATCATTGCATTCACCAAGCTAGCTAATACTCATTTTTTTCATGTTTTGTTCAAATATTTTGATTTTACCGCCTAGTTATACTGCATTAAAGTGTAAAATAAAGACTTTGATGAACAGAAATATGTTACTGTAGTAATTATGATTTTTTTATAATTCTAAAAATCATAAAGAGAAACTATGCCCCTTGGGGGGCGTTTTCCCCCACTCTACCCTACTGCTTTTCTGGGGATGGAATCTGCTACCATGTGCAGACTGTTGGGTCCCAAAATTTTATCAGACACTTACCAGTTTTTTCATACATATTTTACAATAATTCATACGAATTTGTACGAGTGTGGTCATAATATTTAGATTCCTTATAAAATGCATACGGATCGCTGTGAGATCGGATTGATCTATACACAGTTTTTACCTCAATTACATCAGAAGTAACTGTAATTAAATTACAGATGAATGAAGAGTAGTTTACATTTTCAAGGAAAAGTAATGAAATCACAGTAGCTAATTACTTAGTAATTAGTACACCCAACACTGGAAGTATGGCGCACGTAACTTATCCATTGTAGCATCAATGAATCTGTGATGGACTGTGTGGTCTGTTGAAGAAAGCTGTTGACTCCCACTTATCTGAATTACTTACACCTGGCTTGACATAGCTGCTCCTGCTGAGCCTGGTTTGGCCTTTGTGAAACTGATAAATCCAGGATGCACTGATCACACTAGGTCAAGCCCAGCTTTATCACTTATCCTAGATTTCTAAATTCTGCTTTTGTGAAACAGCCCTCTGTTGTCGATCTCCTTATAAGCGCAATGACTCTAAATACCACCAGATGTCGCTAAAGCACTGGCACTGATAGGAGTCAGAACATAGACCATAGTCTCTCCATATGACACAGGTTAGATAAAGTTAGTTGAGTCTGGCCTAAATTATAAGCCTTTTAAAGTACTTGCAATTGGTCAGAAGACTTATCTGTGGTATTGTCAGGGTGTGGTGTGGGCAGAAGATGACAAAGGAGTCCAAAGTTCCAATGCAAACTTTTACTATTAATAATAACATCAACAGGTACAGAGTCAGAAGGTACACAAACACTACAAAGTAGAATGGACAGGGACCAAGGTTATTATACTTTTTCTTTTTTAATACAGTTTCATATGTTAATGATTCTTCATGATATTCATCTGAAGGTTCAGAATTATTGGAATAACATTCTGCAACTATGTTATTCCCTTAACTAAGACGAGTTGATACATACCTCTCTTGTCTCGATGCGTGCGCTAAATCGCTCTTGTCTTGCACATAACTAGCCACTTGTGCTCTAGCGCTCTTGTCTTGCACATAACTAGCACTTAACTAGCCCAGTTCATTCAATAGGATTCAAACAGAGAAGCGACCAAACACCTCCACGTTTTCCCTATTTAAATTCAGTTACACAAGTAGTGTAACTCGACAAAGAATGGTGACACAAAATAAAACGTTGCGCTTTTCTAAGTGTGTGAAATTGTTACAATATTGTGTGGTGAAATACCACAGCTAGTCCTTGGGAGCACTTCAACTTTTCAACGAGAGAGGTATGTATCATCTTGTCTTAGTTAAGGGAATAACATAGTTTACAATGAAAAACAGGTGTAGTGTTACTTTAAGAGAAACATTAGGAAACCACTGAAAGTGTTGTGGTTATTGTGGTTATCATATATCCTCATGCCTGACCAAAGTATCACATACACAACATCTCCAACCTCCAGGATCAACACAACTCCATTTGAGGCGTTTAACTGATCCTTTGCCTGTATAGATTCTGCTACAACCGCAATCTTTCCATTCTTAGAAATGACTGCAGCTGATCGAGTTGGGCCATGACCATGTACAGAGACTCTGAACATGTATGCTCCTTTCAGTGGGGCTGTGAAAATACCTAAATCAAACAAGAGATACAAAAGCAGTATCAGTTGATCCCTGTATGATTGCTTACAGTTTTTTTCAATTGCTAACAAACGCTTACCCATACTTCAGATACTTTTTCTAAACTCTTAACACAGACTCACACCTACAAAACACAATTGGCCAAATGGATCATTTTCTTCTCAAAAACACATTTTGTTAAATATAGACTAACTCTTCATTTCAAAATAGAAAACATCTTTCTCTGCACACACTAACTTTATCAAAACACTGGAAATATTACTCAAAATGAAATTATTCTGTCAAAGAATAACACTTGTTTTCACTTCACAAGGTACATGCAGTCAAAGTGCACCAGGTTTCAAAATACTGGCTATTGTTGACATTACAAAAACTGCATAGACTTTGATGTTTCAGTTTTACAGGTATTTGCATGAAAAACATGCAATCCACCTTTTTACAGTTTTTCTCAATTGCTAAAACACAATTTCTGAAACATTGCTCCATTTTCTGAAAACATTAAACACAAAACCTTATCTTCAAGCACTATTTACAAAACCTCTGATTCCTCTTGCAAAATGAAACTTTCGCCTCAAAACAGTTTTACCTGCACTGTTAGACCTTACCAGGTTTTTTTACAGTAAAATACTGGCATCACTGTTGCCAGTTATTTACTGTAGAAATGCACTAAAACCAGTGGTGTAGTCTAGTTTTTTGTAGTGAGTATACTGTGATATACCAGCAGCCCCCCCCCCCCCCCCCCCCCCGCCGCCACCACCACCCATTTGCGAAAAATTTTCAAAACTTGTGTGATATTCCTTTAAAGTTCTGTCTTAAATAGATTTGATTATTATTATTTTGTAAATTACATTTTACTATGCAATTTCTTTCATAATTCCATTGAGTTACTTTATTTAAATCACTATAAACTGTTTTAAATTAAAGACATTTGAGCTTCTGTGTGTTTTAATAAACTATTATTAATATCATTAGGCCTACATGAAGTAGGCCTATACTCTACTGTGCAATAGTAATATATTTCTTTTAAACTAGATTTTGACAGGTTGCATGAAGCAGGGGCGTCACTAGGATTTTGATCATCACTTAGGATGAAAAAAAAAAGGTGACACTTTAGTTTAGGATCTAATGCTCACTATTAACCAGTTTCATTACATGCAAAGGCAGGGTTTTATAATCACTGTTGTCCCAAATGTGAGGTAGGTTAGTTAGGGGAGTTCAGGGTTTTCCTGAGAAACATTTTATTTCTCTGATCTACATATGTGCATTTTAGGATGTTTTGAAGGCCAAAAAAAAATTAGATAACAGCTTTAAAACCATGTCAGTGGGCAGCTGAGCAGCTGATTATTTTTCTCTCCTCATCAGCATCACCCTCTTTTTCTCTTTGTTTTTCTCTTGCCCTGTCTCTTCCCCTCCTAAAGATGAGCTGTGACTGATATAGGCTTTTCATTTTTGTCTGTCAGTGAAGAAACTAAACATGGGGTCAACTGATAAGTGGATTTTCCCTATGAATATTTTTTTCTCGGACACGTTTATTCACTGAAAGCTACTAAACCTAGGTAATTAGTTTATTAAATACATTCAAAACATATACACATTCATTATTGATCTTATGACTAATACAGGGCCGTAGACAGGGCTTTATAATCACAGATGTCCTAAATTTGAGGTTGGTGCTTCAATTATTTTGATTTCTCTGATGTGCATTTCAAGACGTTTGAAGACCAAAAAAAGAATAAGAAATAGCTTGAAAACCATGTCAGTGGGCAGTAAATTCTCTTCCCCTTCGAAGGCTGAGCTTTTTTTTTTTTACAGTTTTTCTCGATTGTTTACACACATTTTCTGAAAGAATGCCTCATATTTTCAGAACTCTGCACACAAATCTAAAAACACTCACACAATTGGCAAAACCCCTCAATTCTCCTGCAAAATGAAACTTTACATTCAAAACAATGTTATTTCTTCTCAAAATGGTATTTTGTTTTCAAATGACACACACAAACCATCATATGAATAGACATTTATAAGAACCAGTTGAACACTGATGTGCTCAATGTAAAACACTATGATCAATGGAAAACACTTCTTCTCCATTCATCATAATGACTTAGGCCTTTTTTGTTCAGTGTTACACTTACTACAGACATTACATACATAAGTGTGTTGTAAAATATTTGAGAATATTGTTTTTATACCCAGAACACACAAATACACGGTAACAAATTTATTTTATTTTTCCCACAAAATCAATGGGAGATAGATCGCACATTTTGTACACCCCAACCAACACAAAGTTGCACATACAGTGGTCTACATACAAAACAACACAATTTTTTATGCTGTTACAGTAAAAAAAAAGAAAAAAAAATATCTATGCTGCATCCTCTCTTTGGCTTTGGTATTTTATGCTAAAGCTCTGATCGCTAATTGTAAAACTTCGTGAAGGGTGTTTGCCCATGTGACGAGTCAGTGTGAATATTTGAATGTCAGTGTGTTCCTCATGAAAACAAGAGATTTTCTGCATGAAAATTGTGCCAAATGCAGAGAATTGTGTGTAGTGTTTTGAAAAACGTGTGTTTTAGAACTGCAATTTGAGTGTAAAGCAGGAATTGTGCTTGTAGTTCAGCAGAATTGGTTCAGGGGGTTGGTGAATGAGTTACATGTTGTGGTCGTTGTGTCTCAAGTACCAGAAAATGTGTGTAAATAACACAGTCTCATCCCAAAAAGTCATATAACTGACGTTTTGGGACGTATTTTGACCATACGTCAATATCAGCCTTTTTAGGGCCCCCTTAAACGTCGGTAGATGGCGATCCCGGGCCGTCATACAACTGACGCTTTACCTTTAACGTCAGTTAGGTGACGGGTTAGGTTTAGGGTTAGGTTTAGGTATGGGGTAGAGTTAGGATCCCATAACCTCATCTACCGACGTTTAAGGGGGCCCTAAAAAGGCGAATATTGACGTATGGTCAAAAGACGTCCCAAAACGTCAGTTATATGACGTCTTGGGGTGAGACCGGGTTGGTGTAAACAATCGAGAAAAACTGTAATGTAATAGCCTAAAGGCTACAATTTTTATTATATTATCAATATGTACACATTCGTTATTACTCTTGTGGCTAAAAAGATGAAAAGGTCTTTGTTAATGTTTCTTGTCCCCTCGCAATGACAGTAAACTATTAAATTGCATGAGTCACGTTACAGGCCTATTTATTTCACTTCAAAATGGCGAAATTAGACAAAACTATAGCCTATTAGTTTGCCTGATTATTTTTTGTCATTCGTTTAACATTTATGACCTAAAAAATGTAAATATGAAATGTTAAGTTTAGCCACTTACATCTTTTCTCGCACTTGCCTGTACTGAAGCGTTGAGTCGCTCTGCTGAAATTCGCGCTCAGCAGCGTCTTTGAAATAAAGCCCGCCTACTTTGATTTGATTTGTCATCTCAAATATTCTGACATTGACGAGCAGTGACAGACCAATGAGCTCAGATGAACACGAACACACACACACTACACACACCCTGTCCTCTGTTTTTGACGTGCTCTCTGCTCGCGCGCTGAATCTGATTATAATAGAACTTAAGGGAACACGAAATTCTGTCGCCTTACGTTTAGGGGGGCTGATGTCGTAGGAAATTTATTTCACAAAACGATGTTGTTACGAATCCTCACGCTTTTTAAAGTGGGCATACGGAGATCTTTGACATTTCCTAGTGGGTATACGCAAATCCTTGACATTTTCTAGTGGGTATACGGCGTATACCTGCGTATCACGTAGACTACACTACTGACTAAAACTCAAGTTAACTAAAAAAATACAACTTATTAGTTTTAGTGCATTTTTACAGTAAATAACTGGCAACAGTTTTAGTGCATTTTTACAGTAAATAACTGGCAACAGTGTTGCCAGTTATTTACTGTAAAAATGGACTAAAACTCGAGTAAACTAACTTCACTTGCAGAAACCAACTTAAAAGAATCAACTAAATGTATTATGCATTAATAATGTGAGCAAGGTATTATTGTGAACTTATTTAATTATAAACAACAAAAATTAACTTTTGTAAATAAAGAGATTTTCATCGGCTTCTGCGGCTAACACAGACAGCGCCTTTTAAATAAAGCAACATGCAGCGTATCATCAATGTTTGTAGATCTTCTCTTGGACTGAAGCTCAGGCTCCACTCTTCAACACAACGGTGACCCAAAAAACAAGATTTTACAGTAAACTACTGGCAACAGTGTTGCCAGTATAAACCTGTTTTATAACTTACAGTTTATTACTGGTAAAATACATTTTGTGGGAGTGTCTTTTTATCTTACACTGTTAACCCTTTCAACTCAACAGGAAAATCCACACTACAAAGAGTAAAAGTAACATTGATGCAGTGTTGCAGTGAGATAATTAAGGGAATATGTAAGTGATTGTTGAGCATGAACACCTGCTGTTAACAAGCATAATCACTGAAGGAAAGAGGAACAACAAGAACAGAAAATAGAGAAACACAAGAACTACAACTGACTTCAGCCATTACACGTTATTACACTTATTATTAACCAGTATGGCTTTATTTCTGTCATATATCTATAGAAGATGTTGTTGAGATGTTTAATTGAAAATGTTTGGTTTGAAGTTACCATTATAGAGATCAGTGTTTGCTTTAGTTGGTCTACTGATGCTGTAACATGAGATTTTGTTTTGACGCTGTGAGCTGTGTTTTTGCAAGTCACACTTGTGCAGACACACAGTTTAATAAGGATTTATACTGTCTGTTCATTCACAAAATAAATCATTCTTACTCATTCAGAGTTTAATCCTCAACCAAAAGTGTTACATTACCACCACCGTGAAACCACAGCAATTTATTACGACTAATTTTTTTTTAACATATCATACATTAACCAAAGCAGCGTTACAGTCTTGTAGAAAGTCCAAGATATCAAAATTTAGCACATTAATCTCAACTATGGTGGCAATTTTTTTAGTCAT